TCTTCGTTGAAACTTGATAAGAAATTAATGTGTTTTAGTGAGGTTTCATGATAATGTATTTAATTGCTGATTAGAAAGCAATCAAATGCGTGACAACAAGCGTGAAAGATGCATATTGCATAAGTATGATATTTTAGTAGCGGTATGATATTTTAGTTGCGGTGGGCTCCACTCGTTTAAAATGTCTTTCAATTTTCTGGTAGATATTCAAAATTTGGTAAATTGATCTTTACATTTTTCGACCTTTTCCTCATCTAAAAAACTTTTATGGGCAAGCCGACAAAGACAACTTTGTTAAACGTGTTATAAGACATTAACACTTAATCTAACTATTATATCATATTGCCAATTTGCCATGCAGATGCAGTTGTATTAAATATTTAATGTATATTATTGTACCCAAAATAAATATATATATATATATATATATATATTTAAATGTATACCATATTATGCAGTTATATATCTATTTAATTAAGTAATTTAAAGTCCATATATATAAATGACATGTACCAAGTGGGTAGATATGTAATACTATTAATTGTGGGTGAGTAAGAGTAATATATACGCACCATTTTGGATTATGATCCCCACTATTTAATATTTACTTGAGAAATATCATAGAATACTCATGGCTTGTGTCCGCAATCAATGTTTTTCCATGATTGAAACGTGACTCGTGTTAGTGATAGTAATAGATTTCATGATGGACAAATCCCTATAATCGACTCAGGTAGAGTTCATGGTGGCCATTGTTCGTGATAGCGGTAGAGTTTATGATAGTCGGATCTTATAATTGACTCGTGTTAGTGATAGTGGTAGAGTTCATGATGGCTAGATCTTATAATTGACTCATGTTCGTGAAGTGTAATTCATGGTTGCAAGATCCTATAAATTAAGGACTACATATAAACTGACCCACAAGGCTACTTCCCTTCCCATGTCAAAGTCTCTGGCGCAACTAAGACATACGAGTCAAGTAGTTCATCTTCGACTCACGCTCATTTAATAAATGACTTGGCTCGGGCTCAACTAGTCTAAACTCGTGAAAGCTCAGCTCGTTTCAATTTGACTCATTTAATAACATAAAATCTCAAACGACTTTGTTGCGAACGTGAAACGTCAGTTCGCAAACAAATTCGGCTCGATAGTTTCTTTTAAAACCTATGAGAAAATAAATAAAGAAGTTTTTCGCAAACAAGCTTGACTTGTTTCATTAACGAGTTCAATTAAATGTTTGAGTTCGGATCTTCTGGCACCTCTTTCTGCATATGAATATGCATAAAAAAATTAGATTTTTTTTCCAAAGTAATAACGAATTGAAACGAACTCGAAATCTTAGAGCGCGTTTGGATATGGGACAAAATCAGTTTTAATCGATTTTTGACTGATTGAGATATTTTATTTTCAATTTTTTGATTTAGAATCCAATTCAAATAAACTATCCTCAATATTATCAATAAGAATTAAATAATATCAATCAACCATCCTTACACGTCACATCAACTTTAATTCATTATTTATCAACTCACATCATTTTAACTGCCGATCACTTCCAATAACATTTCTGCTACCTTTACATCGCATCAACTTTAATCACTACATTTTAAATATTATCCAATTATAAACAAAAATCATCGACTGAATCAACTTTATTCAAAATAAATAACTTTAATAAAACAAATTCAATCAAAATCGATTGGATTCATATCCAGTCACGCCCTTAATACTCAATCTCAACCTGGTAACTACACAAATTGATAAATAAGCAAGAGCTCATCTTGTTTGTGAATATTAATAAGTCGAACTCGAACCACAACAAGTCAAACCAAGTCAAGAGTTAAAAGAAATAGGTAAAATTCCAATTCTGGAGCTAGGACTGTAAACGAGTCGAGCTGAGCTCGAACCCTTAACTAGACGAGCCGAGCTCAGCTCGTTAAATAAACAAGCTTGAAATCAAGCTCGAGCCAAGCTCATTTATCACTAATAACGAGCCTATCTCGAGCTTTAACGAGTCCAATTGTAAAATATTATATAAAAAATCTCTTTTCGGGCTCGATCATTATCGAGCTGAGCTTGTTAACCAAACGAGTTTTAAGTAAGCTCGAGCTCGACTCGTTTATCAAACAAGCGAGCCTTAACGAGCCGAGTCAGACTCGTTTAATTTAACAACACTATTTGTTGGAGCCTAACTAACATGCAACTCGTTTTTAACAACTCTAAATCTAGTCCATAACAAAGAAACAAAAACTTATAACTAACTATATCTAAGTTTAAAAATGGAGAGGCCGTTTACTCAAATTGTTGGGACAACGAACCACAATCAGCCACGACAACACTCCAAAAAAGAAAGCGACACGCTTTTCCGAAAGCTCATATCCATATGACCAAATTTTGCACCAATAAGCCCGACACAGAAGTGTACTTTGGGCGTGTAAAAATAACATCAATCGACACACCTAAACATGTGCACTGCTGCCTGAAGCTCATTGTCCAAACGTTATATAGTTATATGCAACCAAGCAGATAGGACAAGTAAAGTCATACAGAGGGCTTTTTTTGTTAAGTGAAATGGGCTCATTTTAATGTGGATCCAGCTGAAATAGGTTATGAGCATTTGACGAGCTACTCGAGTATACGTAATAATTACTTAAATACCTCTCTTTTGACATTTTTCTGTCGAAATTCATCCACTGGTTCTATCTGTACAGCATGGCAGCTTACGCAGTTTATTTCCTAAATCGGGATCCTTTGTTCCGCTTGCTGCCGTCTCCTCCATTCCATGCAGAAGACCAGAAAAAGAGAGACATCCAAAATAGCACAGCAAAGAATATCTGAAAGCTATCCTGAAATCTCGTGAAAGCCGATCTTACACCTGGTACACACAAAAACGGAGAAAAAATATATTTTCAAGAAAGACAAGCAGAAGCTATATCATTGTCAAGTCATGAGTGTGTGAAGTATTTATTGGGAAGCCCAATGAGGGAACTCGAACAAGAAAGGTCAAGATTTCTACTATCATACCACCATATGAAAAGTATCTCCTATAGTTGGGTTATCTATGAAATGAAATTCAAGTGGTCGTGCATTATATACGATCATTAGTATATTCAATTAATCTCCGGTGAGAGAGGAATCATGAGGAAAGCTAAATTCAAGGGAGTGTACATATTACACAACTCATGGGAAAGAGAGGGAGAATTCTCAAACAGGAAAAGTGTCAAACAAAAAAGCATGCTTCCTAGCCATTTTTGCTGGAGATTACATGATTTCTGATTTATGCAAATTTATTTATGCAAGATTGATTTAGAAACAATAAAAAGTACTTGTAAGCCAAAAAACATTTTTTTATTTTTTTTATCTTTTAACAATTTTTGAACTTCCCGTCGGTCTAAAAAACCATCTACAATATGGTTTCAGAGAAGAAAAGAAAAAAATAATCATCTAAGATCAATTAAAAAGGGAATAAAGTATTTTTCCCAGCACATCAACTGAAACATCAAGTTCCTTTTTTCAGTGTTGTCCAAAAATATCAATGAACAGACAACAGATCAACTAGTAGTCTGTATGTTGCATCGAGGTGGGGATGTAGAACAAAAACATTAACAAAAATTTAACATCGAAAAGTGGTTATTCAGCATCATTACTTTTGGTAAACTATTCTTTCTACAAGCAAGAAAAATGATTTTCAAACACCAAATGTGATGCTCCAACTGCAAAAAATCATTACGATATTTACTTTGATACTGAATGACAACTTCAAAGTGTGGTTTAGGTTTCTCTCTCAACTTCTCTATTTCGAAGAAAAAGTGGCTTCTACCGATATAATAACTCAATGGAACAGCAACTGGTAAAAAGAAAAAAGCAACCGCTATGATGAAATATAAACAAGAAAACCATTTCACGGTACCTTCATGTCTATGACTTTCATTTCATGGCGTGGAATTATAACACATGTATTTGCAGTTATTATCATCACAGGGAACATTAATTTTTAATTAGAGCATTTGTCTCTTGCTCGCTGAATTTTGTCAAGAAGATATCCTCAAACCTGAGTTGAGATTCAATCCCGCGCAAGTATCATCCAAAAGCTTCGAGCATTGAAGATGATATATTGAAACAAAAATGTTGAGATTCTAATTTCGACCAGATGTTCGGGCCATCCAAAGTTATTCAACCAATTCAAGGATTATCAGAAATTCACAGTTATAATCTCAGTCCTAATAATGCCATTGATTTTGCTCAAAAGATTTAGCTATCTCAAAGAACTCTCCTTGCATAATAATGGACTTCCACCTATAAGTGTACATACAAGTTACAGCTTAAAAGCTCCTATACATAAAGAGATATAAAAAAGGTTGTCTTGCACTATACTGTTAAACAACCAAACATAATATCATCATTGAACCAAAGAATGATTAGATCACAATAATGAATCTTGATGCCCCTCAATTTCTGTGTACCATGATTTATCAATTTGCCTCTAACATTTTCTTTTTACTCGCAGAATGGATTCACAAGTGAAGATACTTCTACCTCATGCATCATTGTGACATTGAGATCTAATACAACACAAATGAACTAATTTTTCATTAATCGCAAATAATATCATTCAATCTTATTTCCTAAAGCAATTGTTCCCCTGAAGATGTTTCCTAAAACAGTTCAATTAATATCCGATGTTCGAATTGGTGTCTAAGTCCCACGAAGAGCAAAGATGTTTCCATTCTCAATCAAGTGGACTTAGCATCAAAACAATAACTCACCACTCAAACTAAACCATGTATCATGTTAACTAGCAACGTAAATGTCAGACTCAGTCATTTAGGACCAAAAGAATGTAACTTTATGCACATATTAAGCACAACGTGTTCTTCAAATGCTGATTTAAGAAGTTAAGAACTTTTTTCCACTTTAAAACCCATATCACTTTCTCAATCCCTGAACCATAACAATAGGGCAAGCCAATCACAATCACTATTACTTCATTAAACCCAAAAAAAATGAATAAACACAATCAATTTCCTCATTAAACACACTCTCAATCAACATATTTGGCAGGTCGCTACTTAAGGCTTTCAAAGTTAAAAGCACTCAACGAGAAATTGAAAAAAAAAAAAAAAAAAAAAAGGAGTAAAGACGAAAACGCGGGCACCTGAAATTGGAGCTAAATTTTTCTCGGAAGGCGGTTCTGATGGTGGCCCGGTAGCGTAGCAGCGGCCCGACCAAGGATTGCGTTTGAAGAGGAATGAACGGTGCAGATTAATTTTATGAGAAGCAGTGAAGCAAAGAGCTCTCGACTTGGTGTTTTCGGTGGAGCAGTTGTATATCGGCGACGGAGCACGGTGGTGCTTAACGCTCGTCGGAGATGAAAAGGAGCACGTCGCCATTTTTTAGTAGAAAATTTCTCGTTCCTTCAAGAATTTTGTAATATTTCATTTATTTATTTATTTCTTGGGCATTTTTTTTTCTCATTTCCGGTGCGGCTTCTCAGTTTTGTGTTTTGGTTCAGAACCCAGCCCAATAGGATACAAGTCATCACTCGTTATCATATTCAATTTGTTAGGACAATTTTGAGGGTAAAAGTGGTATACTTAGTTGTTAATGGAGTTTTAAATTTATATTAAAATAATATTTAAAATAACATAATTAAAGTTAATTTAATGTAATAGTAGGATAGATATGATATGAAGTGATAGTAAGTTAAAATTATGTGAGTATATGAGTAGTGAATTAAAGTTGATATGATGTGTAAAAATGATTGGTTGTTATTATTTAATTATATTGATAATATCAAAAATAGTAGAGTGGAATAAAAATTGAGTTAGATTTTGAATATGAATTAATTTGGGTTGAGATATTAGATTTACAAACACACCCTTAAAATCATGATACAGTGACATAAGAGATAACATAATTTTTGGAATAATAGCACGTGTCACGATTTCGTTACTTACACGTTGCACCACTTTTTACATCAACTACTAACATACACTTCACTTTTGTTCATCCATTATGTCAAACAATTGTGTCAAGCTAGCTTAATCCTGTCGTTAATTCTATTAACACAATCTTAAATAAAATCACTGTGTATTTTTGTTATGAAGTCAATAGTTAGTGCCGCATAATAAACTTAACTTTCTATATACGACAAGTAAAAAATAAAATTAAAAAAGTTATTTTTATGTTTTAAGTAATTAAAAAAGTAACATTTTGAGAAAACTGACTCCACTATCGAGCCAAACTGTTAGGTCATAGGTAAACTGACCCTCGGGGTTAGTTTTCAGTATAAAATCCACAATTAACATATTTGTATTTTTAAACTCCTAATAAATTTAATTGTGCATTTACCATTTTTACATCTCATAAAGTCATATCATAACATTTCCATTTCATATTCATCCGGTCAAAAAAATCCACCTAATTTATATTTCCAAAATCTGTAACCGCTATTTAATTCATCCCAATAATTTTCTAAGCATTTTTTACCTATTCTCATTTAATTATAGGAAGAGAAAATGAGATGTCATTTCCAACTGAACACATTGAATGAAAGAGGCCTTCAACAACAGAAACAGGCAAAGATTGATAAATTAAAATGAAAATATATGAAAAAT